TCCCTGTTGTTCTCTGCAGTGAGCTGGAAGCTCAGATCAAGGTCTGCCATGCTAGCCTGAAGCTAGATGCTTAGCTTCACATGAACTCTGCTAACCAACAGTCTCCGGTCCAGTCAAGACTTCAGTTAACCAGCCCAACCCTGTTTCAGAACTCATTCATTATTCTTGTGTTTGTGCAACAATAAACTCTGTTTAACTTTTATCCCGTTTCCGTGAGTGTTCTGCATTTTGGGCTTTACTCAGAGACCCATCATGACAAATAAAAGGAAAAATATTTTACACTAAATTTAATTGTTGATAATAAAAAGAAGTATTTACAAGTTTTGACTAAGCATATGTACTACAAAACATGATTAATCATTCCGTGTTGATTACATTCACAAAAACAGATGTCGCCAAAATGTTTAATTGAATCCTAATTAAAAAAAACAATTACAAACATTCATATTAATCACCACTTCTTATCCACTTGTTAACTTTTTAAAAGAAAAGGGCAGGTAGATAAGGATACGACATTTTCATGAGTCACTTATTTTTAGACTACCAAACAGAAGTATTGCATTAGACATGGAAAAAAAAAAAAACCCTTTGCCTTTGCCGTCATTTCTTAGAAATAATCAACTGTTGATGGCCTTTATGTGTTGTCATCTTTGATTTAGAAGCACTGGGATCCCTTTGAGAAATGAGAATCAAACACAGTTGCAGCAGTGATACAGTCACATCAAACACACAGAGAGCCACTTGTTGTATAAAGGAATGAATATGCATTAATTATGATTTCATAGTCTTTTGCTCTTAAGCTTCAGGACTCTTAAAGAAGTGGTCTAAGTCATCTCTTATCTTTTCTAATGTCAATATTGGCTTTTAGGTAAACTATAACTCCCTGAAAGAGGTGTTAAGACATTAAAGGCTTTACTAAAGCAGAAAGAAACCCTGTAAAGGGACATTGATAAGCAGAATGTTGAAAAACAAACAACAAATCAAACCTCATTAGAACATAAAACAGGCCAACAATCAACTCCAACATTTTTCATCTATTAGGCAAGACAGGTAAAAACTAAACTTGATTCTTATCTATTCATTTAAGAACCAAAAAGAAAACTTGAAGAGCGATTTAGGCAAAAATATTTCACCAAAATGCTGATATCATTATATGAGCAGCGGCATAAATAAAGCCAGCATCAAATGATCTATCATCTTCTTACATATTTTCTATTCTAAGTGAAGATAAAACTTTTTTTACAGAAACGTCAAAGTATTGAAAAGTTACCTGTAGCAATATAACAATGGCAAGCAGGGGAATATATCTACACTGAGGAGCCAATAACCTGTACAACCTCTTTTTAACATGATCAGCACTTCTAAAGAAATTTATTTTGCCCCTTTTCTTTGAAAAGATTCTCAATCTCAAAGTGGAAGTAGAACATTTGTAAAGATACTTGCTGCAGGTTTTCAGTTAGATTTAATAATAATAATACACTTTTACCTTTAAGATCTAAATATATTGAAGATCTGGATATAGAATTAGCACTCTTTTAGCTCTTAATCTACACAGTGACAGACATTTTTGTTTTGTTATTCGTTTAATTAATGTCTTAATCGTGGAAATATTGTTTTGGGGTTTTATTTTTTCAACTCAGCCTTTATAAATAAGAACTTAATAGCCAGAAGTAGCATCATACAGTGAAAGAAAGAAGAATAATATAAAGGCCAGTTAGAGATTCTGCTTTTTTAAACTAAATTTAAATGCAATAGATCCATACAGATCATTTATTTGTCCTTTTTCTGTTCTCATTATGTTGGAAAATATGTACCTTTTCCCACATTTTTCATAGTGTATATGTGGAAAATCTGATTAAAGAAACTGTTTTAATTCTGTATTCTTATATTTTATATAGAACAAAGGCCTGGTTTCTTACAGGTCAGATATACCTGTATTATCTGTGTAGGTCCGGCTAAATGTAGATTATAAACAGTTCCTGGATTGTAAGGGTAGCTGTTTTCTCAAAAACACATTGTTTTTAATAGCTGTAAATAAATATAGTCCTATTTTTATGAAAGAATGCATGCAACACTTTTTGTCACTGGCATAAAAACTGATAATTGTATTTTAATTTTTTTGTGTGTTTTCATAAGCATTTCATTCCTTGTTGTTGTATCTGAAAACAAGCACTAGATTGATGATGGGAGACCTGATTTAATGTGATTCCACTGTGAAACCACCCAGACTCATCCCCTCCACAGTAGGTCCAAAAATCTCCACTAAGCCAACTACTGAATTTTCTCAAAACCAGATTATGTAGATTTTAAAACAAAACGCAAGCATATAGCTTCAAATACCATGGATTATGCAGGGTTGGATTTTCTAATTTTTATCATGCTCCCTGTTGGTGTGCAGTGCAGTCTGAGAAACCCTTTATAATTTCTACGCAGCTCAAGCAGAGCATGCGGTCATGATAATGGCATGTCCTCACAGGTAATTCCCTTAAGAAAGATGCTTCTGCAGCCCATGTGTCCTTGGAGAGATCAGAGCACAAAAATACAGCCACATCCGTCATGAAGCTGCCTGCATGTAAAGATGCTCCCTTCTTTCCCGTGTTTACAACAAGCAGAGAAAAACATGAACGGGAAACGAGCTTTCACCTGTCAACCCCCCCAAAACGGTCCACAGCATGATGAGAGGGGAAGGAACCATCGTTGGTCCCCACTGACCTGGATCGTGCAGGTGTACTCCGAGTCGTCCAGCAGCCTCACCGTGCAGTTGCATTCCCTGTCCAGACTCCTGACGCTGCTGCTCATCAGGCGGCTCAGCATCTTCTCAGTCGTCTGCAAACGGGACCACGGAGAAGCGCGCACTGCACATAGATAAGGGGCGACTTTGTGTCAGGTTAACGGCGCTCCCCCTCCTTGCTCCAACACCTGGTCGGCGGGAGTGACTGGTGCATCGTTTAATCATCAGTGTGTCAGTGTCTCCATCAGGACCGCGTTCTGACTCAGACAGGACAGGAGAGCAGAGATGCTGCAGCTGGTCCCAGCGCTCTATGGAGGGCGGTGATGCTGTTGCGCTCCCAGGTCCGGGTTCTGTCCTACTCTCAGTGCTGCTGGCTGCTGAATGAGGAGCCTGTCAGGCAGCTGAGCTGAGGCTGGGATGCTGCCTTCACAGACATAACGACAGGAGGCGAAATTCCGATAGGCTGCTGTACGTCGTGACGGCAGACACTTAGTCCAGCATAATACCATGCAGGGCCTCCACTTCTAACAAGGCAAACTTTTAAGGAATACATTCATCCCAACACAAAAATGTTTCACATGTTTACTGTTATTATAGGGAGACTTTTAGTTTTCATGGGGGCAATGGCGTAACTATCGGTAAGCAGAGACTGCAGTTGCTTAGGGGCCCCCGACCTCTTAGGGGCCCATCCCTGACACCTGGTAGGCTCCCTACACAATTAGATGTCTCGTTGCAGATGCAATGGTGCGAAAAATTTATCTGATATCCATCTGATATTTAAGAACATGACTGGACTGTATTTATACCCCAACATATGGCAGATTTCAACATGATGGAGAGCGTTTAAACAAAACACCACTTTTAATTAGTATGTTAATAACTGTGTATAGTTCATTAGACTGTCAAAAATACACTCATATATGTTTCAAACAGCAATAAAGATCTTAAAAGAAGGATGTGTTTGAGTATTTTATTTTTTATGCTACAGCTTGGAATTATGGGTAATCCAGAGCGTAGATTAAAACCATAACCATTACGCACAATGTGTTAGCGACCATGGATACCAAAAAGAGATACTTAAGCGATTCCAGAAAAGAAAAAGAAAAGAAGAGCTGCTGGAAGAACAGAAAAACTTCCCAACATTCTTTAAGGAATGGTGGACGTTGCTGCTACAGAGAAATAGAAATATACTTGTTCTCAATCTACTTTTACCTATCAGTGTGAGGGTACAGTGGGGCAAAAAGACATTTAGTCAGCTGCTGGCTTTGCAATTTCTTAGAAAGTATGTAATTAATGTAGGATTTTTAAAGAATATGTCTATTATGGTACTATCTGGTATTTAACCAAAGTTGCACTCAAAACTATGTAGTTTAACCTTTGTTTGCAATGACAGAGGTTTTCTGACCAGGTTTGCATACACTGTGATGTTTTGGGGCTTTCGATGGGTGACATGGAGTTTCAGCACTCAAATTCAAACTCTGTTGACTGGATCTTGAAATGCTTTTTAAGCGCTCTCCTTCATTAACCACATGGTTTAGTTGGGATCATTGTGATGCTGGAAGACCCACACATACATTTTATCGTCATTGCTCTCACCAATGGAATGAGCTTTGGGCTTAAAATCTTACCATCTATGGCACCTGTTCATTCGTCCCTCAAGATGGAGCAGTTTTCCTGCCACCTTTGTAAAAAAAACAGCCCCAACGCATGTTGTTTCCACCGCCATGCTTTACAGTAGGTATGGTATTCTAACTCAGTATACTTCTTCCTACCAACACAGTGAATTGAGTTTGTGTCAAAAAAATAAATTTCGGTTACATCTGACAGATCATATTCTCCCCATCCTGAGGTGGGTCATCAGTATGCCTTCAGGCAAACTTCAAACAGGCCTGGACATGAACTGGCTTAAGCAGGGGGACACAACTAGCACTTCAAGATTTGAGTCCTTCTTATGTAGTGTGGTACTGATGGTGGCCTTTTTTACTTTGGTCCCAGCTCTGTGCAAGCGATTCATAAGGTTTCTCAGTGTAGTTCTGGAATTCCTCATTCTCCTGTAGCACATGAACTAGGAAGTCTGTAATTTCCCCAAGTAGCAGGTCAGGGTAATCTGTGGATCCACCATGTTTCTTCTCTCTCCCACAACAACAGAACTTGAGCACAATGTGCTGGTAATTTCCAGTTTACAAGTGGAAAGGTTCATTTGTACTAGAACTCACTCACTTTTTTTGTGAGTTTTGCACACACATTACAAAGGCTGAAATAAAGAAACTCCGTGCTTGGGTTTTACTTGTACAAAGTAATAAATAGTTTCAAGTACCAGTCACTATTAGTAACTTCAATTGATTACTAGAAAGCTGAAGGTTACTGGAACAGTAATATATGCCACCATACTGATTAAATTCAGGTAGGTAGACATTTAAGACTGACCGAAAAATATTTCATAGGAGAAAATTTAAAGCCGGATTAAAAAAATTAATCTGATAGATAATTTCAGCTATTTAATGTTAATGAATATATGCAACTTCAAAATATGGCATGTTATGATAGGGTCCACATACTTGCATAGAATTTTACATGATACAATGTTACATGTGAAAATAAATGAAAATAGCTGAATGTTTTGGTTAAGTTTGTTCTTCTAACAGTCATGATGGGAATTGTTGAGGAAACGACCAAAACAACTCCTCCAATTGGAGTAAAGACTTCCCCTTGCCCTGTTGGAGCAGTCCATATTTTTCAATGACATTTCCATCTGTCTTTTACTCGTTATCTGTATTAATCATAAACTGATAAAATGTTCTTTTAAAAACCTTAAGTGGTCTAAATTATGATAATTTTTTAAGCATATCAATATTACCCTCACGTAATGAATTGCATCTGTATAGTCTGAAATTTCTAATCTTGCCTTGTCTTTGGTTTTTATTTATTTGACTGAATAACACATTTTGAATTTTGCACTTTACAGAAAACAATCCCACATTGGAAATAGGCTAATTTTCCGTTTGCATGACCTATGTCTCCCCCTGGTGATAACTTGGGGGTAAAAACCAGTGAACGTGGAACCCCCCCTCAAATAAAAAAAAAAAAAAAAAAAATATATCCGCCTAGAGAAGAAATTAGAAACTTGCAATATTGAGGTTTTACAAAAACGTGGACCTGAATTGTCTCCTACGTACGTTTAAACAGTACGATATAGCAATTTAGATTGTAATGTCCATGTGAAGTGAATTATTGTGAGACAACTGTGTATGTATTTATTATACAAGTACTAAAAAAAAAAAACACCAAATTTGTTTTGTCGGTATCAAAAGAATAAAATACAAAAAATGAGCCCATCTGCCGTGACATTGTTTCGCAATGCCGTGACCCGGATTCGAACCGGGGTTGCTGCGGCCACAACGCAGAGTACTAACCACTATACGATCACGGCGAGCTACGATGGGCTCTTGGAGACACAGCGATACAAATTTGAAGTCATTTGTGTGCCTCACAGGTTTCACTGCTGTTGTGTGTCAGTTTGCTATGTACTTTTTGTTTGTATTGCTCATGAACATGAATGCGTAATGAATGTCTAATATATAACTAAAGTACGTAAAAACAGTTATTGAAATGCTGTCACAGTTTGGGCTTTAGTATAATATCGCCATCTGGAGGTAGGATCAGCGAAGTGCCACGGAGCGGACCTATTTTCTATTTCCTGTTTTCTTCTGATTGGCCAATTTCACTCTATACGTAGCAGTTACCCGTTTTGTAACACGTCCAACGTGCAAGTTACAAAACGGAGATTTGTTCATTACACAAAGCTGCATCAGATCGGTGGATATAGACAGTGGTGCAGGTAAGTTAAGTAAAACTCTATGTCGGATGTATATTTATTTAACTTGTATTTTCCTTTGAAACGTCGATGGGAATAAACTGGTGCGTCCTGTCTTTTTGCATCCTTAGTTGCAAGATGCTTTTTATAAGGTGCATCTGATTCATTGAGTCATGATAGAAAAAACATATGAATTTAAAGGCTTTTTCTGCAATGCATTATAGATTTAGCAGCAAATGTTTGATGAACTGAATGTTTTTAGCTAAAGGGTCAGACAGTTTACTGAACAACTTTGTTTTTATGGTGAGATTTTAACAGATTTGTTTCTCTCCTTTTTGAAATAATGCATTTACAGGCTACCAGCAATGGCTCACGTGTGCATCCATTGGTTCCGTAAGGGACTCAGGTTACATGACAACCCAGCACTTATTGCTGCCCTGAAAGACTGTAAGGAGCTGTACCCTGTGTTTATCATGGACCCAAATCTTCACAGCACTGAGGTGGGCATCAACCGCTGGAGGTTCCTCATTGGAGCACTCAAAGACCTGGACTCCAGCCTGAGGAAGCTCAACTCCAGGTAGAAACATGGACACACCTTAAAAAATAATCTAAAACTGGTATTTTCTAGTTAACTTACTGTGGTTGGATTTGTTAAGACTGTTTGTTCTGAGGGGGAAACCAGAGGAAGTGTTCCCAAAGTTGTTCAGCAAGTGGAAGGTAACAAAGCTGACCTATGAGTATGACACAGAGCCGTACAGTCTGAGCCGTGATGAGAAAGTGACCAGTCTGGCTAAAGAAACAGGAATTGATGTCATCTACAAAATCTCTCATACTCTCTTCAATATAGAGAGGTTAGTTTCATTCTAAATACCTCGAAATAGTTTTAATGAGCCGTTTTTCCTCTATTTTCCTGCATAATTATTTTATATCTTTTGTTGGTTGTTGTTTCTCTATAGGATAATTGAAGAAAATGATGGGAAACCTCCTCTTACATACAAACGCCTGCAAGCAATAGTTGCAAAACTTGGTCCACCCAAGAAACCAATCCCTGCTCCAACCTTGGATGATATGAAAGGTATGTTGCAAATGGATCCAGCCAAGTTTAGTTTAAACATTTTCTTACTGAATTAATATAATGTCCTAAGTGTCAAAGTCTGACGTCGTCTTTCTGTTATCTACTGAAGACGTTAAGACCCCATGCTCAGAGAAAGATGAGAAGAAATATGGGATTCCGACACTAGAGGAGTTTGGTCTGGACTCAACGTCTCTTGGAGAGGAGCTGTTTCCAGGAGGAGAACAGGAAGCTCTGAGGAGACTAGATGAACACATGAAAAAAACGGTACAGGTCTCCCACTTGATTAACACTGATACTGGCCTGTATAACTGTGCATTGGAAGGGATGGATTTAATTCATCTGTAGGGTTAAAAAAGAGGCTCAGGATGCATGCTCACAAAACACTAAATCAATTAAAATGTATTCTAACAGAACAGGAAGTTGTTAATCTTCTAAAAAATCTAAATAATTTCCTTTTGATAATATTTTGCAGATTTATTTATTTTTTTACTGA